GGGAAGACCAGCATGAAGATGGGCCCAGGACATAAAAGACACCCTGGGCAGGAAAGTGCATAAGGCAAGAGAGATGGCAAGGGTTGAATTTCACTCGGGGAAGGGAGCGGTGGGGGGGGGGGGGGGGGGGGGGGGGGGAAGGGGGCTGTGATATGAGCGAAGTGATAATGTGGAATCTAACACAATAAGCATAACACTGCAACAACTGGGGAGACAAAAAGATAAATACCTGAATGGCTGGGCAATAAGGATGGGGCAAGACAACAATAATGACCTCATCCGTGATCCTGGTTATCATGTGAAAGGAGAACCATCTAGGTTTATTGACACAGGACATGATGATGGTGATCCAACAATGTAAAGAGAAAGTCAAAAACATTAATCATCATCATTCTAATGTCAATTTAACATGGCTCACACAGGTAATTCCTTCATTCAGTTCTATCTTATACAATCCTTTTTATTTCGTGAATCAAATCCAATTTAGTACCTCTGGCCTCTCTTATCAAAGTTTTTTCTCAACTCAGACGAGAAAATTAGCTTTTAAGAGCTATATAGAGCCAATCCTGATGTATGGAAGTCAATCGTGGACAGTAACCATTTAGTGAAAAATTATGCGGTAATATCCAGATCAGTGGTCTCCAACTTTTTTTTGTTTTTTAGGCGCGCTCCCTTGAGTATATGACAAGACCCCCCAAGCTCCTTCCTCCCCTCCCCCTTGAGTATATCACAAGACAACTCCTAGGTTTGAGACACTGATCTAAACAGTGTTCAGTCTGCTGTCATACCTTCTGAACTGTGTCCAGAGATACAGTTGCCATCGCTGCAGTGACCCTCTCTCTTCAAGGCGTCTGATGATCCTTATCTTCTCAATGCCGTTTCAGGTCTCATGCTCACACAAGGCCACATAATAATTTACATTTTTTTCCCTGAATATTTTAATTTGCCACAGTTGTATATCCCGTTAAATAATTCTTTTATAATAACAGAGGGTGTGCTGCGTGGTCTCGAGGCATGGTGTCTACCCCAAGTGCTAGAGGTTTCGGGTTCAATTCATGATAAGGGCTGGGATTTTTTTCACGTGGACTTCCAGAATTTCCCCTGCTCTCTGGGTAGTGAGATCGGACGCCCCGTGTGCATTGTTGCGCATGTAAAAAAAAAAAATCTCCTGTCAGTTGGAAATCAAAAAGAATAGCCTAACGGCGCTGCCTGGGCAAAATTAGGATTTGAAAATCTACCCAAAGTATTTCAGGATCCTCGCCAGTGCACTGTGCTGAGCTTCTCTGGACTCAGTCTGGAGTTAGAAGAAGAACGGAGCACTTATGGGTTACTACCCGTGTGTCATGATGTTGATCCGTTTTTCAACAATTTAAAAGCCTAATCATTCCCGATGACCGTGTATAAAATAAACTAACTTATGAAAAGAAGTCATTGACGCCATCAAAGAGGCCTTCTGTAAAAAAGGTAAAACTGGAGCATGTTGTGACACTGGGAAAGTTGGAAGGTAAAGGAGGGATAAGGAGTTTAAAGGAGAAGATGCTGTATTATTAATAGTGCAACACAGTACAGACTATAAAAAACAGATAAGGATTTCAGAAATAATCCTCCTAACAAACCAACCAACAAAAAACTGAGAGAAAGAGAGGCTGAATGAGAGTGAACGATAATGAGAGAGATAAAGAGAGAAATAGAGAGAAAGAGAATGAGAGAGAAATAGAGGAGTAGGAGTGCATTAGAAAAGAGAAATACAGAACAAAATAGAAAATAAGAGAAAGAGTACTAGAGAAAAAGGAAGAAAGAATAGGTGAGTGTGTTTGTGAACATACATATTTATAAATTCAATAACTGATATATTGAATTTAAAAAGTGTCTTATGTTACATATATGCGTATAATTTCTCAAAATAATATATTTATTATTAAATATATACAAATATTGTCTGAAAAGAATATAATCTTGCATAAATATAAAGTGTTCATAAAATCCAAACCAAAATATTCTCAGTAAACATCAAAAGATCTGGCAGGATACAAACTGGCACACTGAATATGCTCAGTGGAAATGTGAGATCAGTGGACGGGATTTATTTGGATCTGCAACTCAAATAACTTGGATTGGATTAGTTTCAGGAGCTGTATTACTTCTCCACTTTCAAACAGGCAATTGGAAAACAGGAAGGATAAGTCAGTTTTACCAAAAAATATTCAGTGTGACGAATAGCAGCTACAATCATTTCAGAAATGGCAGCCATAATCTGTGACAAACAACAGCTGCAATTACCATGCATTAATCTAGCAAAAAAAGCAGCTTCAATATAGCAAATGGCAAAAAAAATCAAGATGGAAATTGCAGCTTTAATCTGGCTAATAGCAATCTCAATTGTGATGTAAAATTTAGTCTCAAACAAATCATGCCTGAAACTGTGGCCTTAATCTGGTGAATAGCAACTACAATTGTGATGAAAATTGTAGCTTCAATCTGCAAAAAAAGCAACTACAATCATGATGGGAATTGCAGCTTAAATATGGCAAATAGCAACTACAATTCTGATGGAAAATGCAGCTTCAGTCTAGGAAAGAGCTAGTCATCACGGAAACTGCAGTTGCAGTTAATCTGGCAGACGGCAACTACAATCATAACTAAAACTGAATCCTTTAATCTGGCTAATACAATCAGCAACTATAATTGTAATAAAAATTGCATCAATCTGGCAAAAAGCTACTACAATAATGGCTGAAATCGCATCTTTAATCTGTAGCAAGTAGCTAATACCAACAATACTAAAACTGCAGTTTTAATCTGGCAAATAAGAACTACGAAAATGGCTGAAATTGCAGCTTCAATCTGGCAAATAGCTACTATAATAATGGCTGAAATTCCAGCTTCAAAATGGCAAAAGGCAACAAGAATCATGGCTGAAATTGCAGCTTTAATTTGGCGAATAGCAACTATAAACAACAGAAATAGCAGCTTCAGTTAGCAAACAGACAATATAAATATTTTGGGAGGGAATTAGGGAAGGGTAGAGAAAAAGTCCAGGCTGTGGGCTTTTATCCCCTAAGGCAGCGGTTCTCGTTGGGAAAAATTCCAGGTTCTGGGCTTTTATCCCCTAAGGCAGTGGTTCTCAACCTATGTGTCACAACCCTTTTGTGGGACCCTTTCATAGAGGTCACCAAAGACCATCAGAAAACATATACTTTCACTGAAGTTATGAACTAGAAATGAAAATAACTGTATTGTTGGGGTTGCCACACCAGGAAGGTCAAGAACCCCTGCCCTAAGGGTCTGTGAACGAAGGGTTACCCAAAAATCTTGGTATAAGGAGTTAGTACAAAAATGCCATGAGGCAGATAATGTTCAAGTAACAACTAAACACAATGAATAAGTTCACAACTACCTAGATCACAGTAAGGTTAAAAAAAAAAAAAAGTACATTAAATCAACTGAAACCAACAATTGCATGGGGTAAAAACTTAATTGGATAATAACACTTCAGAACATAAGGACACCTTAACATTGTAACCTTTCAAGTATAAAACCCTCACCAAATAAAGCAAGTTCTCGTAAATATATATGATTCTGCTTCAATCATGATTGTGACCTCCAAAGTATTGATTGTTGATCATAAAACAAAACAACCTGACCTGCTGATTCTGAAAATTAAAAAAAAAAGGGTAAAACATTCACACCTCTGAACATCTGAATATATGGAGCTATAAATTATATAGTGCCAAAACAAGTTAAATTTTTCCACTATAATGTTCTTCTTCTTCTTTTCTCTACTTCTGGGATGCCTCACAGAGTCAGTGCAGGAACAGATCTCTGGAACAGGCCCTTCTGTTCGCTTCGTATATAGTACTTTTTCAGTGTCTTTGATATTTCTGCGGTCCATGTACTGCGTGGTTGACCTCTGGCTCTGTCATTTCTGTATCTGTATAACGATGCTCTCTGTGGTGCCCTGTCTGATGCCAATCTAGTTACATGGCCAAACCATTTGGTTTGTTGTCTACCTATAAAGTTCAGCATTGGTTCTGTGCCAACTCTCCTTCTGATATTATCGTTCCTAAGTCGGTCTTTCCTTGTTACACCAAGCATAGTAAGTAAACATATCATGAACTATTGTCCTTCTGAACACAGTGTCTATTTTTGAATCTGATAGCATAGCATTGGTAAGAAATACTGTGTTGAACAGTGTTCTTTTAGTGTTCCTATTCACTATAATGTTAACATTATGATTATCAATTTTAACATATGCCAGTGAGAGTTACAGAGCCACTATAGACACGGAACACTAACTAAATGGTTTTGAAAACAAGTCTAAGGAAACTGATTAACATTAAATGAGATAATCACCAAAAAGGCACTTAAATGGGAAACAAATGTGCTGAGGAGTTCAGGTTGTCCAAAAGAAATGCTAAGATGAATATTGATGAGAGGCCAAAGGTGCAGGACTGGATTCCATCTATGATACTGAAACTATTACAGAGAATATAATGGGTGCAAGAACAGACTACGAGAGTTGCAACAGCAGAAAAAATGATGATGATGATTCCATACATCATTATCATCATCATCAACATTACTATCATCAGCTTCTATTTCTGATGCTGCTACTACTGCATATATCATCTGCCTCCATTCTCTCTGTGAGTGGCCTTCTCGTTTCAACTGGTGACGCCATGTGTTTCTAGGTCTGCCTTATATAGTCTCTTCATTATCTTCTTGGTCTGTCTCATGGTTTACTCCCATTCAGCGCCCTATGTGTATGCAGCTTTTGTCTCTTTGTTTACCTGCTTTTCTCTTTATATGCCCATCTCTTTCAGTTCTATTTGATCAAAGTTTAAAAGAAAAAAATAATTCACTTTTAAATTAAAAAAAATGTGTACATACAATATACACGTGTTTATTAAAAACAAACTCTTTTCATCATTTTACATTTTTCCTATCTACATACCTATTTGCTCCCAGCTGCATGTTCAAGAACTCAGAGAGGACAACCATCACGATTCAGCCAGCTCGGAATGTTCAAATATCATATTCCAGCCTAGAGTTCCCAGGTAATGGTAACCATTCTCCTTGAGATAATCCGCTACTGCGCTCTTGGGTTCTTGTGCGTGCAAATGTTCATAGATGATGTAGGCAGGTCGGAAGTTAAGGGCTATCCACTGTTTGAGAATCTGTAAACAATTAATACGATTTTAATTCTTTGGAATCATAACACCTGTGTGAGTTATGGGGCCCTTTTGCAGGTAGGACAAAAAAAGACACTGCACATCTAACAAGCATGTTGTAAAAGTCAACAAATCAAAGACATGGGTCCTGGGGCCAATCTGGTAAAAAATAATAAACCCACGTTTGACATCAGAGTGCACCTGCCTGAGAGGCAAGGAACAGCAGTCTGCATGCAAATAAGCCAGATGTGTAAAATGGATAAGCAATTAAAGTTCTGAAACAAGATTAAAGTCCAGAACCTTAAGAATAACCAGAACTTTCTTTCAGAGTTTACAGCCGGTGAATGTGAAGAGGAAAACAAATAATAATTTACAAACTCTTAGTATCGGTTCCGGGGCCCATTTGGTAAAAAATAATAAATCCCCTGCTCCCTAACTTTCCTTGGCAGCTTTTCCTCTCCGCAGATGATAGTGTTATACTGTGCTACAAGGAGGCTTGGGAATCACAGCTCATGCACTTCAAAGGGGACAGAGTCGCCCACTGGGTCGCCGGTAGACGACTTCATCACCTGGTGGGACAATATCTGGGTGCGTCTCTTTTGATCGCATTAGGAGTCCTTTTCAGGGCTTTTGGTGGCGAGCAGTGTTAAGCTATTTTAAATGGCGCACAACCTAAAGCTCTCCTCTCCCTTCAGGGTTGCTGGTTGTACGTGATGATTGTTTCCCAGCACAGCACCGGCCTACCTCACAGCTTATGTTGACTGCAAGTGTGACTAGCACGACAGGCTCCTGTTCATGAATGGCCCCTGTTCATGACTAGCATGACTGGCCCCTGTCCATGACTAGCGTGACTGGCTCCTATTCATTACTAGCGTGACTGGCTCCTGTCCATGACTAGCATGACTGGCCCCTGTCCATGACTAGCATGACTGGCTCCTATTCATTACTAGCATGACTGGCTCCTATTCATTACTAGCATGACTGGCTCCTTTCCATGACTAGCATGACTGGCTCCTGTCCATGACTAGCATGACTGGCTCCTGTCCATGACTAGCATGACTGGCTCCTGTCCATGACTAGCATGACTGGCTCCTGTCCATGACTAGCATGACTGGCTCCTGTCCATGACTAGCATGACTGGCTCCTGTCCATGACTAGCATGACTGGCTCCTGTCCATTACTAGCATGACTGGCCCCTGTCCATGACTAGCATGACTGGCTCCTATTCATTACTAGCATGACTGGCTCCTGTCCATGACTAGCATGACTGGCTCCTGTCCATGACTAGCATGACTGGCTCCTGTCCATGACTAGCATGACTGGCCCCTGTCCATGACTAGCATGACTGGCTCCTGTCCATAACTAGCATGACTGGCTCCTGTCCATGACTAGCATGACTGGCCCCTGTCCATGACTAGCATGACTGGCTCCTGTCTATGACTAATGTGACTGGCTCCTGTCCATGACTAGCATGACTGGCTCCTATTCATTAATAGCGTGACTGGCTCCTGTCCATGACTAGCATGAATGGCTCCTGTCCATGACTAGCGTAACTGGCTCCTGTCCATGACTAGCGTGACTGGCTCCTGTCCATGACTAGCGTGACTGGCTCCTGTCCATGACTAGCATGACTGGCTCATGTCCATGACTAGCATGACTGGCTCCTATCCATGACTAGTGTGACTGGCTCCTGTCCATGACTAGCATGACTGGCTCCTATTCATGACTATCGTGACTGGCTCCTGTCCATGACTAGCTCCTGTCCATGACTAGCGTGACTGGCTCCTGTCCATGACGTGCTCCTGTCCATAAATAAGCATGCTGAAGAAGGAAACTAATCAAGCCTCACATTCACCAGCTATAAGCTGTTAAATGTTATGGTGGCCGAGAGAGAGTTGTGATGGATGGCAGTTCCAGGAAAACAAGGCAGAGGCAGACTTTCGTGATCATGGATACACAACATTAAAGAAGATGCACTGGTTATGAAAACACAACCACATCAAGCTGGTGAACTGGCTAGAGAAAAAGAGACATTTAATGTTCTGTAATGAACCTGCTGACAAACCTGTGTGTGATCAGCTGCAGAAAGTCGAGGATGGATATATCTGCTTTACTCACTGAGATAGCAACTGGCTACAATGGATGCATCTGTCTCACCCAATTAAAGGTTAATCTATATATTTAGTTAGTTAGTTGACAGATTATCCCCATTTCACATCGAACAATTCAGTCCATAAGTGCTCGGATCCCCTTCTCAGTAAATACAGAAGTGTGTAGTGACTGAAGACACCAGTCCTGTGTTGGTTTCTTATTTTTTTTTTTTGGCTTCCTGCAATTTTCTGGCCACATCTCTTTTAACATGCTGTTCTTGCATTCTGGTCATGGTTGCAGATTCAGTCATCAGTTGGTTCTCGCAAACGTCTTACTTCTCAGAGAGCATTCAGTACATCAGCCCGGTCCATGGCATGTCGCCCTTTACAGTAGCTATCCCTGCAAGCCTATCAGCTTGCTCACTTCCTTGCACGCAAATGTGCCTAGGCACGAAAATGAAACTGACTTTCACACAGTGGTATGAGAGGTGAAATGTGGACAATCCTTTAGCAAGATTTTGATTGGATTTGATTCAAGAACTGACATCACAGCACTCAGGGTATTCCCATAAGTGCTCCGTCCCCATCTTCAGCAGCCAACAAAGAGTTCCGATACTAATGGTGCCAGTAGGATTCTGATTAAATGTCCGTCTTGCCTTTCCTCTGAGCCTCGAGCATCTGCCAGAACCTCTCGTCACTAACCACTGCATCAATTTCACCAGACTGTGGTGATCCATCTGCTCCTCCGAACTGTCCACAAGGCACTAACCATGACTGCCTTATCATGTATCAGAATTCCACCAAGTTGTGCAGAGCCAGCCAGTCTGTCCACCTGTTCATTCCCCAACACACTGGTGTTCCCGGTAAAAAAATCCAGACAATACTCCTCACCTGTGTCCTCCACAGCGAAGCATGCCACTCTGCATGAACCATACCTGTTCTAATCTTCCTCAGCATGCTTTCTGAATCAGTTACAATCACGATGTGTGTGTGTGTCATGTTCTCTAGCCAGCGGACCGCCTCCACCTCCATTCTTAAGCTGGATGTTGTGGTATCATATTCTAGGCTCACCTGCACCAAACGTCGACCATTAACTTTTGCTAAGAAGCCCCAAGCACTTCTTTTGCCTCTTGATACTGAACCGTCTGTGTAAATGATCAAATCCTCTGAGCGAGCATTATCTTGAATTAATTGCTGAATTTCCACCTCTGTGGCACCTGCTGGCCAGTCTCTGCATTCCTGGCTCAGCGTGATTATGACTCTACACAAGTCTAGCTGTTCAGGTGGCACTTTGACCCACTCTTCTCCTCGCCTAATGTTCTCAAGGATGCAAACCTGTCTGATTGTGTCTTCTGCCTGAGCCATCCATGACCTCCCTCTTATCAGCCGCTGACCCTTAACTGCACCCAGAGCTTCACGCAGAGGGTGGTCTGTGTCTGCAGCTACCCTAAGATATGACTTGGCCTGCAGCACCTTGTGCCTACCTGCAACCGTCAGCAAACCAAGAATGTATCGCATACACACCACTGGGGTGTCTCTGGTGCAACCCAGAATGACCCGCATAGCCGCGTTCTGTATGCGCTCTAATTTGTCCATCTGACTCTTTGAGATGGTAAGCAGTGCCAGGCCCTAATTAACCACTGACAGATCAGGTGATGATAGAGTGTGAACAGCATTCTCTGCTCTATGTCAATTGCAGCCATAGTCTTAAGTGCACTAAGTCCTTTTTGGCATCTCGTCACAACACTCTCCACATGGTCCTTAAATGACAGGCTCCTGTCAAATGTAATTCCTAGATACTTCAGTTTGATCTCTCTGTTGATGTTTCTACCATCTATCGAGAGACTTGGGACATTAGCTTTAACGATTCTGTTGTCCAGAGAACACTACAAAACAGATGCCTTTTTCAGGTGGATGACAGCCCTTATTTCTGTACACCACTCAGTCACTTTGTCTACTGTCACTTGTAGCTCCCAGGCTGTTTGTTCCCTCTCTTCCCCCTGCCTAAATGCAAGTATATCTTCCGCAAAAGTAGTATCCTTTCAACTCCTGATGCTTCTAGGCTTGCAATCTTGCTCGTATACATGTTAAAGAGCACAGGCGAGATGGCGGATCCCTGTGGCAGTCCTGGGGCCAAAGTCCATGGTTCTGGGGTCCATGAGCTCAGTCGGAGAGCAACCCGACGTGAATACAGGGCAAAGGCAACATTTTACAAAATGAAGAATATTTTATGCAATCTTTTTTTGCTAACTGACACAAGAAAGCGAATTCTTAAAAGCTATATAAATCCTATCATGATTTACTTAAATGAATTATGGACAGCTGGTCAATTAGTGAAAAATTATTTTGAAGTGGCAGAGATGTGGTTTTATAGACAAATGATGAGAATAACCTGGAGAGGTAACAAGAGTAATGAAGATGGCGAGAAAGAAACTTACTCACGAAGAGAACTGATTGCCCACATCAGTAGACGACAATCTATATTTTTTGGTCATGTGATGAGAAGGAGAAAACTGGAGTACATCGTGGCAGCAGAAGAGTTGGATGGGAGGAGAGGCAGAGGGAGACAGAGAAAATATGCTAGACAGTCTGATATCATGGCATGGATGTGGCGCGGTGATTTATGTCACAGGCGTGAGGGGAAGTTAAGTCCAACATGATGTGTATAAGGAGATACTCCGTACGTCACTCGGGCGCCAGTCCTTTACTATCCTGGTTGTACGGAACCTCACGCAAGACCCCTACAGCACGTCCTCGTCGTGCGCCACGGATAATGTCTCAAATGAGCATTAACAGAGCTGTCAGGGGATCTCGGAGTTTGGCGGCCCCCAGAGGTGATGAGTCCTTGTGGCTCTCATCAGCCCGCCCCCAAACGCTTGGGTGAAAAATGTTATCAAAACTCATTAGGAACATGAGTAGGTTCGACAAAAGTACAGCTAAAATCACAACCCTTGGTTAAAAGACTGCTGAGTAAAGAGAACATTGCTCAATGCTCATCCTCGGTTAATCCTCAGTGTCATCGTCACCGCGCTGAGGTGCACCACAACAGCAACCATACATGGGCTGGCTATCCTTGTGCATCCTCGGTTGGCCCTCAGTGTCGTCGTCACCGCGCTGAGGTGCACCACAACAGCAACCATCCATAGGCTGGCCAGTCACGTACATCCTCGGTTAACCCTCAGTGTCGTCGTCACCGCGCTGTGGTACACCACAACAGCAACCATCCATCGGATGGCTAAGCCTAAATGTCCGACAAAACTAGATCATACGGATCAAAATCTGACCATCAAAATTTGCACTGAAATGCAAAAGGCCGAATGTCCACACCCAAAGACCCCACTCGCCCGAGTGTTGGGACAAAACTGATAACGATATGCCTGATTCAGGATGTGAAATTCTGCCGGGCAAATGTACCTATCTGTGTGGTCACAAAAGTCCAAAACCAACGGGCTGCTCCCCGCTGACTTCCAGAGGGCGCAGCCCCTGTCGAGCGGGAGGCCTGATACGGTTGTGAGGTTAAGCAGGCATGTGCAGGACGTGACGATTCCTTGGGTGAGTCCAGAACCAGAGCGCCATGTGCCGGCTCTGCATGCATGGAAGCCTCCTTGGATGGCGGGGAATGCCCATGATCTGCCCCTGCCTTCCCTTGAGGGCCAACTGTTCCACAGGGGGTTGCCCCAAAGGGGTACTCTGGGGGCAATACCTGCGGCGAAGGAGACAAGGAGGACACCACACAAATCAGGCAGTCTCGACCCACACAAAACAATGGCCACAGTCACCCTAGAAATAGGCCTGATGTCTTCCTTCGAAGTCGGCGTACAGCTGCCCAAGAGGCAGGGAAATAAAAAACGGTTGTACACGCAAAAATCAGGTCCAGGTGAAGGCCAAAAGTCCAAGCGGACGATTAACCGGGACCTTCCACTGGAATTCACAGCCGGTGTTCGATGAAAAAAAAAAAAAAAAAAATGGCATGGATGATCATCAGTGTCAGATCTGACTGACAGTATACAAAACAGAAAGCCGGGGATAGACATGACTACCAATCCACACGGCATGGACTTTGAGAAAAGGTTAGCAAAGGATATACTACAGACAATCACTCTTGTACAGATGCCACAAATTTGGGTTCAGCTTAATAAAAACTCACCTCATACCCTGAGCCCTCCGCATCTATTGATAAAATGCCAAAGTTTTTGGGAACAGCAACTTCTGCCACTAAAGTTTTGACTGTCATAACGGGCATTGGCACGATGACGTCACCTTCATTAATTCGTCGCTGGGATTTTATGTGGCTTTCTGCACCCATGGTGTTTTTTGTTATGACAAAATCCACACTGCCATCTGTGCTGCCAATTGCTGACTGGACATACTTGACCATCTGATCTCCATCATTGTACCGATCCACATACCTGGTCAAGAAAAATTTAATAATTATGTCATTGTTTTTCCTGTGTGGGTTCTGGGGTCCCCCTGTGGGGAAAACAAGAATAGATCCACTGTCTACCCCAATTAACATGCGAAAGAGTCAACTAACTGGGAGCTTCCTTCGAAGTCAGAGTGCATCTGCCCAAGCGGCAAGGAAAAACCAAATGCACACAAATAAGCCAGTAAAATGGAAGCACATGCAAAACTTAGGCCCTGGCACAAAGCCAAAGTCCAGATGGATGAACAACCAAGATTTTCTGCTCGAGCTTATAGCCAGTGAACAAAGAAAAAGAAGATATCACTGTATGAGTGATGTTACTGGCAACTGTGAATCTAGTTTAAACAACAGCTCAGAGAAGGAAAATACAACAGTACAGACATGTAGTAAGATCCAATGCACCTCTCTATAATTATTCTGCAGTGTTATGTTATCACAATCCATGTCACAGTACATTGGGAATTCCCACTGTTCTAAATCCTTCAAATCAGCAGCCTCACCAAGATAGAGCTACTGATTTTTTCCCATGAGTTAGTTAGTTATAATGTCTCCTATCTCTACCTTGAAGGTGGCATAGATGTCCTTCACCATGCTTTACTACCAGTTCATGTAATCATGTTAGCATCACAATTTTGAGATACTACAATCTTCGCTATAGGGGAAGAGGCCAAGAAGAGTCTGCATACAAAATCTAACTGACTGGACAGGCCAATGATACCATCAGATTAATTGCTTCTGACCGACAGAGATGGAAGGAACTAATAAGACAGTCAACAGCAACTGATGGACCAACCATACTATTTTGGAGAGGCCAGTACATCAAATGCCTAGGATCGATTTTAAGTAGTCCAGAACTGCTCACAAAACAACAAATATAATGGAGTATTAAGAGATTTATAAAGAGATTTATCTGGAAGCAGAGGGTAACCAACATAAAGGTGGAAACGGGACAATAAAAACACACTGAGCATGAAAATGTATGAGGTAAATGAAGTGAGAACAAGGTAGCCTTCTTCATAGATGAGAATATGGGTGTGACTGCAGTCAAGCTAATACAAGGAATTATAGAGAAATTTGACTAAAAGGCTCAACAAAATAGGGAAGCAGAAAAACGTGCACAAAACAATGCAAATAACGTAACGTTTCGGCCAGGCAGCCTTTGCTTTTTGGTAGTTTGACAAAGGCTGCCCGGCTGAAACGTTACGTTATTTGTGTTGTTTTGTGCACATTTTCCTGCTTCCATATTTTGTTGAGCTTTTTAGTCAAATTTCTCTGGAATTCCTTCATAGATGAGACTAAAGTGACATTCTGCAAAGGACCTTCTTCTTCCTCCTTTTACCACTTTGGGTGCTGAGTGAGATACAAGTTCTCACTCTTCTGACTATTATGACCACAGGCTCTTGAAACTGTTGCAGAGTTTCTCTGATGTGATCTTTTCACCTAGCTCTACTTGATTCATTGCCGCTCTAGAGAATGACACTGAATCATCTTCAGACTAAGAATGGGGCACAACAGACTGCCAGACTTTTATTTACGTTTTTCTGTGTAAGAAACATGGAGATATGTCCCTGTACCTTTGCTGAGCCCTGACTCCTAAAATGTAAACTGTATGCTGCGAACAGAGAAGAATCTTACCTGTTCCAACTTCAATCAAGACAAAGCTGTATGGTTAAACAAGGAGATCTGGACTGCAGAAAAGCTTTCATCAAGGCTACTGGCCTTCAAGTATAAGCTTGATCACAGAAGGATCAAAGACCTTGCTTGGATTACTCTGGGCTCTACATTTCTCTCTGCTTTTATATACCTTGTTTTGTGTGACCTCATGTAGGAAAACTAATCTATTTTGTATCTTTGTAATTAATAAAGTATTGGTTCTATATCAACTTGTCCTCCTATGACCTAATTCCTTATTTTATCTTTTATGGTCATGCTTATGGTCATGGCAGTGACCAAAGCAAAAATATGGCTGCAGACACAGACCTTTTCTCACGCATGCTTTTTCAGTGACTCAGTGAGTAAGCTCAGGAAAATAGAGAAGGGCTGGACCCAAAGACAGTGGTTGCAGTCTCTAGAGCAGTCAGTGCCAACACAAATCAGATTCATAATTTGGCCACAGCATGCAGACGTGCAAGGAAATGAGCAAGCTGATTGGCTTGCAGCGTAAAGCTACTGTGGAGGGCAGACGAGCCCTGAACCACGCTGATATTCTGAAAGCTCTACAAGAACTAAGATGTTTGGGAGAACCAAGTGATGATTGTGAATCTGCAACCATGACCAGACTGCAAGAACATGTTAAAATTGGTGTGGCCAGACAAGAGCACTATGCAGGAAGCCAAATAAGAATAAGAAAACAACACAGAACTGGTGTCTTTAGCTGCTACACGTTGCAGGATTTATTAAGAAGGGGATCAAAGCACTTATTGACTGAATCGTTCGATGTGCAAAAAGGATAATCTATTGACTACTTAACTAACTAGCTTGTAGACATTTTACAAATATATTTCAAGAAAAGAAAGAAGAAAATACAAAGACAGAAGGGATGGAGGAAAAAGGATGAAGAGCAGCAGCAGATTAAGAATAAGAAGAAGACGGATAAGGAACAGGAAAAGAGGAGGAGAAGAAGTGGTAAACATAAAAAGAGAATTAATTACTTACATCTTAATATTCCTTTCTGCAATGTGTAGCTCTAAAGGCTGAGGCTCGACAAGAACTGCATCCCAACCCCACTGGATAAAATTAAAAGAATTACTGGATATAAATCCGTCATTTGCTCCGATATCCACGATCATAAAGTGATAAGGAAACTTTGATTTGGTCATAATTCTATTGTAAATATACGTGGCCTCCTTTGAGTGGGAAACATCAACACCAATAAAACTCAGCCGTTTCATCTGTCGCCCTTTCATATCACGTAAAGATTTTTTCCGTGAGCTGTTATTTTCCTCGAAATTATGTACAATGTACAACCTTTCAACCGTTTCTTGCAGTAATGATAAAAACAGGCCGTCTGCTTTAGCATCCGCAAGAAAGTTGTTAATTTTTTTATTGTTCTGAAGTTTATCTAAAAAGGATGCTCTTTCATGAGATGATGAAATTTCTGACAATTCACGGCTGATTACACGATATAAGGAGATGACAAAAATGTTTAAAACAAGAAACTCAATAATTGCCAGTGTGGCCACAGCAAGGCAAAAACATCGTACCAGATGTCCTTTGGTTATGCTTCTAATTCCTCCAAATATTCGCTGCTTTATCATTGTAGACAATTCTGAAAGGAAAAAAAATTATTTTACAATTTTGAAAGGAAAAAAAAATTATTTTAAGATAGTTGTTGCTTATTACTTATTATAAAGTTATATTTTCACATTCTCTGCCCCATATTTTCATTTTTACTTCTTTTGGCTGAAACACAGGACCCTTTTAAATAAAACTTAACCTGGACAGAAGTAGCTGAGGTAGTTCCACGCTGGTGCTGGTAGAGTTAACAAGGACAGACCATAAACTAGCAGATGAATGAATGAAGAACTGGTATAAATGCACTTAGGATATTCCCATATGTGCTCTGTCTCCTTCCTCAGTAGCCAAAGAGGAAGCCCCAAGCTTAAAGTGCCAGTTGTAACCTGATTAAAAGTCCACCTATGTCTTTCCCTTGATACTGAATATCATCCAGAACTTCTGCTCATCCATGCTGAATTACTCTTTCAAGGTATGGATACTCTGTTTTGCTGTGCTGTCAACTTGATCCCAGAGAGTTTTCATCATGTCTGCTTATTCTTAATAAGTAGCTCATCACCTTGAAGAATAGCAGCAGCTACTCCAACAGCGTGTTCACTATCCCACACTACAGAATATCCTGCACATAAAATCCTTGATAGCTTCCTGGTATAAATCTTATGAAGTGATGCATGCACTCTACACTTAGGATCCCAGTTTCTATTGTCCCATGAGTTCGTTACAACTCCCAAATGTCATGCTGTATTGCTCTCAAGCCATCAAAAAGCTGACATCACTGCCTCCACCTGCGCCCTCATAGATGTTGTGGCATTATGCTTGAGGCTCTTTGCTTTCAGTGTCTATTCTCACTAGCCGGCTGATGTCTTCCTTCGTCAGTCATGAAGATTGTGTCTTTCTGGACTTCAAGCTGGAAACATTTATATTTGAGGCATCATATTCAGAACTTTTAGTCTTATGCATGCACATTGAAATGTAGCTTCCCCATTTGTGTCACTCAGAAATGTGTGTGTATATGCAAGGAACAAAGAACACTGAAGCAGTCTAGTCATACACTAAGAAAATGACATAAACAAACAAATGTGTTTTGTGAATGGTGAATCCACAATTTTTACTCAAGTAGTAATTAGTGTAACCATCACGCACCCATTTCCTCATTTAAGGATGTCGCTTTATTGATGCAGCGATCTCGGCTTGCCAGGTATTTGGATGGTCTGATGTATTTAGACAATCAAATCATACTGCTCCTCTTCAATTCTGCCTCTTATTCTTCTCATTCATATTTTCATTATATGACTCATTAAACTCCATATGTGGGTTGTGGAGCCCCACTAGGGAGACAAATGAACAGACTCACTGCACCCCTAACAAGCATGTCACAGAAGCCAACTAAATAAGGCTGTTTCCTTTAAAGTCAGAAAGCATCTGCCTGACAGGCAGGGAACCAACACTTTGCATACAAGTAAGTCAGATGTGTCACCCCTGTGTGGGCTCCGGGGGGGGGGGGGGGGGGGGGGGGGGGGGGGGGGCGGGGGGCTATTTTTTTTTTTGGGGGGGGGGGAAGAATAGACCCACTGCCTACCCAAAAGCATGTCGTAAGAGTCAACTAATTGGGAGCTTCCTTTGAAGTCAGAGTGCATCTGCCTGAGAGGCAAGAAACCAGCAGTCTGCATACAAATGAGTCAGATCTGTTAAACGGATGCACACACAATACTCAGTTTCTGGAACTAGACTGCAGTCCAAAAGAGGATGAACAACCAGAACTTTCCGCCAGAGTTTACAGCTGGTGAACGTGAAAAAGAAGAAGAAGGAGAAGAAAAAGAAGAAGAAGATTTGTCAAAGGGATGTGGACGCAGGAATTTAAATTCCTGAATAAGATCATAGAGTCCAGAAGCAGATGAACACCAGAACTCTTAGCCAGAGTTTGAAGCAGTAGAATGCAGAGAAAAAGAAGAAAACTGTCTGATGTTCTTCATAATCCAACGCTCCATGTATTTTTGGGGTAAAGTTTTAAAAAGAGATTTTAAGCAGGTCATCAGGTATATGTCCACCGTTAAAAATATCATCATTCAACAATTTTGTAAACGCTGCCGACAAACTAATAAAAGTCAAAAAACTAATCCGGTGAACCCAAGAAAAATTTGAACGTCCAGTTATTCTCATGTGTGTTTTCCCATTCCCATTTTTTAAGATCCTGTGTCACATCTGAATGGATTAATCACATATCCTAGACTAGTCATCACAGCAGCAGCAATTCGTCTGACCCACGCATATTTTCACTGAAATAAACAAGTCATACCAGCCAAATAGATGGCTTCTCGCATTTCTGGCACATGTGGGCTGTTCAGTGATGGCTTTCTAGAAAGCTTGATGTGTTCTGTAATTCTACCCTGAAATTTTTGTGGGTTCACCTCTTCCAAAAAATGGCGAAAAGGACTGTTGCGTCATAGTAACCAAAACATAGCAGGAGGCAGGAAAAGGAGTAGAAATATGTGCCAGAAGTGTCTGAATGGCCGCCATAGGCCTTACTTTCCAAAACACAAGTATTAGGACTTATTCAGGCTTCATCTATCAAAAAATGCACCCAATCTGTTCAGGTTAGCCATCTTTGTTCCCAAATAAAAATTAAAAAATTGCATAAATTATGCAAATCAGAATAGTTAATGTGAACAGATGTGGAGACTTCAGTTTGATTCATAAACATTCTCTTAGCTCATTCAATTTTTTTCTGAACGAATATATATATATATATATATATATATATATATATATATATATATATATAATTGTGTATATGTTAATTGAATATGAAGATCAAAATCTGTTCTTGAATTTAAAAAAAACGAAAATAATGTCCACGGATAAAACTGGCTGTCACCCAGAAATAACAATAAATAATGAAGAAATTGAAAATGTCACAAACTTTGAATATCTAGGATCTATAATAAACAGCAATGGAGATTGTTCAACAAAAATTAAAAGGAGGATGGCCTTGGCAATGCAAAGATTGAACAGCCTTAAAAGTCTATGGTTAAGCATCAGCAAGGAGATAAAAATTAGAATTTTGAGAGCATGCATCTTCCCTGTGGCTACATACGGATGTGAGTCGTGGACTATCTCTCAGTCCTTAAGAAAGAGAATAGGGGCTTTTGAGCTGAAATGCTATAGAAAGATTCTCAGAATATCTTGGACAAAGTAGAGGAGAAATATTGACATCTTAAAAGATCTGAACATCAAGGAAGATTGGCTAATAAACAGCATCCTTTCTCAGAAGCTGAAATATTTTGGTCATATCAAGCGCCACAACGGATTGGAAAAAACTATAGCAGAAGGCATGGTACCAGGAAGGAGAGGCAGGGGCCAACCGACATGAAGATGGGCACAGGATATAAGTGACTCCTTGAGTATGAAAGTATATGAGGCAGGAGTTTCTTTGAGGCAGACTGTGATGAAAGCGACGTTCTGCAAAGGACCTGCTACATGATGATGATATGTTAATTACACGAGTAATTTTTTTAAAATAAATTTGTGTAAACTAAGAGAGTCAACACACACCCCCCTCCCCCAAAGGCTTCGTCTTTTTGGCGTAAGAGGCTCCGTCTCCAAAGGGTTAAAATAAATACAAACAAGACTATTATACTTCTATACCATTTAAATTCTGGCTCTCCTGTCAACTACGGCCGGTAGACAACAGTAGACGGCCGGTTAGTCGGAGTTCTGTCCCTTGGCTACAGTGCAATTACGGAGTGGAAAAGGCATGAATCACAACACAAAGTGACGTCGACATGGCTGCTAGAGCTAGACCACGTGCCGCGACTCACATTAGCGACCACGTTCTTGCGACGCAAGACTTAGTGGCCGTAGATGTTACACCTCCGGATCTGTATGCCTTAATGAGCGATAAGCTTGCGTGGTTGCGGTGGCTAGCTAGAGCATAGAGTTATAAGGAACATGCAGGTATATGGCTCGTGCAACCGTCCTATGTCGTTTGCGCCTCGGCAGGACTGCTGTGACAGATACTCTTGGCGTTGTCACCGTTGCGATACTCGGTGTAGCGTTCGCAATCACATATAGCGGCTGTCATTATGGGTAAGTACTCGACGTTACATGTGTTACCCTAACCCAAACCCTAACTCTAAACCAAACCGTAACCGTATGATTATAGCAGGGCAGTGCACGCTGTCTATTGCCAACACACAGTAATTGTGTCAATTGTTTCGTTCCCTCTTTTTCCACTCCGTAATTGAACTGTAGCCAAGGGACAGAACTCCGACTAACCGGCCGTGTACTGTTGTCTACCGGCCATAGTTTACATTTGCAATGTTGTCTTTAGTATTAACTGTTGTGTGTTGTTTTATTAACCCAGCGGCCCGTAAAGTTTGGCTTGCACCGGTGTTTCTCTTGGCCAAATGTTTTGCCTTGATATGTTGTTGGGTTGGGACAGTAGTAATCTGTAATTAAGTAATAATAAAGTTTATAAACTAGTAAAGTTTTTCCCCTTAGTTTTTCATATGATATACAATATACCATACCAGCAGCAATTAGTGAGATCCATCCATCTGTTTACTAAAATACTAACAATCATAATGTCATAAACGAATAAATTAGTATACAGTATTATTAGTTTTTTTATTGTTCTAGAAGCAATTAAATGATTGACACCCGTCCATGTCCTAGCAGATGACGTGTTACTGCCCGGAAGCGGAAACTGGGTCCACCAATTCTCACAGTTGACGCCATATCATGGATGAACGATCGTCTCTTTAGAGAAAATACAACACATACAAAATATAGTGGTTGTTAGTATATGCCTTGAGATGGATCTTCTTTCTAGTTATAATGACGATGCTTCAAATAATGAACAGGTGGGTGTGTGTTTTCCAATGTTTAAGCTTGCGAAAATGTTCATGGAAGTAGAAAATTTGAATTATTATTTGACGGTTATGTTACTACCTATTTTCGATAAAGTTTTATGTGTGTCAATTCTGCGGTTTTGTAACCGTGGACAGGTACCGTGGTGACCTTTTCAAATCTCTGTTTATACCTTTACCAACAGCTTTTAGTTTTAGTGCAGCGGAATGTGGAGAACATCGAACAATTAGTTGAATATCCATGTAGCTAAAATAATTAAATATTAATGAGAATTTTCGTTTTTTTTCTCTCTAACTCTACTTCTGGAATGCTGTCTAGTTACTTTAGTCAAATTTTCAAAATTCCCTTTACACCAATAAAACCAGAACATTTAGATAGCTGTAAACAATCTCTTTCCAACGGTACCTCATTTAGACTTGTATGTCATTTCTGAGCTGAGATATGTAGGTTTTTGTGGAGATAAGATGTAAAAAAAAAAACAGCCGCTAAAACTTGTGACCCAGAAACAAGAAGTTTTATCTGCGCAACCAAACTGCGCACTTCTGTTTTGGCTTTGTTTACATTGGACTGTCATTGGACAAGATGGCAGTCAATGAGACACCGCCACTGGCTAAGCCAGCGAATGCCTGAAAAATGTCACTGTACATCTACCTAGCCACTGTTCAGAAAGAAATTTTATACACAAATGTAAAATTGGACGGAGAATTCAATTATAACTAGCATTACCAGGACGAGTAACAGTTAAAGCCTAACACCAACCTTGAATACTTACCGAATTTTCAATCAAACTGATGTAACAGAAAAACAGAGGACGCCCGGCTGTCGTAGACATGCGCTGTTAATCGGGTTCGTTCCTGCTGTTTTCAGCTATTTATAGCTGGTGAAAATCACACCAATCGCGAAATTTCATGAGAGATTAGGACCTATCCCGAAACCCCAGCCGACATTTCCAAAACAAGTTACTGTAACGGTCCTGCACATTGTCAGGGTAAAAAGATTTTAGATTAGAAGACATCTCTGGAACGGGTTCTCCTATTCGCTTTGTTAACAGTACCTTTGAGTGGCTCTGATATTTGTGCGGTCCATGATTTGCCTGGTCGACCTCTGGCTCTGTTACCACTCTATCTGCATAACATTGCAACCATTAAAATTAATTAGAAGGATAATACAATAATGTGCAAAATTAAAGTATTAAACCACCAGAAATTGAAGAACAGCAGATTTTAGAGTGTGGTTTTGTTGAAGGTAAAGCTAAAGGCACAAAAATGCCATATTTATCTTGAGATAAGAACAATTTTTAATAAAAGGAGTGAAATGAATAGAGTATAGAGATCTGGGCTCTCCTCCGAACTTCTACCCCATATTATGGCAGCCAAACAAATACCCTGACAGGGCCTTAGTCGTGTGTAAAATGCGGACTTCCTGCGACAAACACATGCTGAAAAACTAAGATTACTTGACAATTTCTAGACACTCAACACTGCAGACGTTAGTAGCAGACGATAATAGTGACCATTGACAATTTGAGCGTTTCTGCAGACGATACTAGCTACTTATTGACAATTTTGAGACATGCAACATTAGTATTACAGATGATAATAGCCACATGGTGGGGAGACCATACGCTCCAACACAAATTAGCGTGGTTGTTGACCTCACACTTTTCGGCATGCGCAAAAAACGGTTAAACTTACCGTCTCCAGTATCCCCCGCGGCGCGGATGGGGATCTAAACTAGATGCCTGGGACTCAAGCAAATAAATTAGAGGAAGTTGCAGGAGATGCGGTAGCTGCTGCTCATGAGTCCCAGCTATCTAGTTTAGCCCTCCATCCGCGACGCAGGGAATACTGTTTGCGGTGCCGCGTGTTTTGCAGTGATTAGTTCCTCGACAGGAAGTCCGCATTTTGCATAGGACTTGAGGCCCTGTTAGGGTATTTGTTTAGCTGCCATAATATGGTGTAGAAGGTCGGGGGAGAGCCGAGATCTGTATTTGGGCTTCATTGATTACGCTAAAGCATTTGATAAAGTGAAACGTGAAGGATTTATTAGAATTTTGTAGTGTGAAGTTGGGTTTCTTAATTATTTTTTATAATAAAGTAATGAGATAAAAATGAAATGGTAATTATTTATTGATTTTTAGTTTTTGTTTATTTGAATCACAACATTCAACATTAGTAAATTTGGTTTTTTAATAATAAATCACTACAAGCAAAGAATTTCCTAAGAAATCCACGGGATATCCCACTATTTAGGAGGTGGTAGATTAAGTGTATAGTTTTTGGGCTATCCTCCGAATAAAATAACGGTCCCAAATTATCGAGGCCGAAAATATACCCTAACATAGCCTCAGTCACATGTAAATTGCGTATGTCTTTCCGGCACTATACCGCCACTGCCGAGAGTATTTCCTGCGCCGCTACGCGCACAGTGGGGCAAAACTAGATGGCTGGGGCTCACAAGCTAATAAAATGAAGGAAGCTGCAGGAGACGCGATAGCTGCTGCTTGTGAGCCCTAACCATCTAGTTTAGCCGCAGGGAAAACTCTCAGCAGTGACTTTAACTCAGCGAAAGCTTTTCTGCGATATGCTGTGTAGTCACCAGAAAGACGTCCGCAATTTACATGTGACTGAGGCCCTGTTAGGGTATATTTTCGGCCTCGATAATTTGGGACCGTTATTCGGAGGATAGCCAGTTTTTGTAATATTGCTATTTCATTTAGCTGTGAAGTTGTGCAATTTTGTGTGTGTGTGAACTCAGTGTGCAGTCGGAAGGATGCCTTCCCAATTGGGGCATTTTGGTGTGGCCCTGAAATGAGCCAATTATTCTAGATGTATACTGCTTTGGGTTCAGGAATTGACAGTCAGAACAATTTTTACACGTTAAATTCTGGGTATAGTGTATCGGTTTGTAATATTGGTAATTATAACCTTCTCGGGCTTAAAATACGACGTGGGCACTGCGTATGACGTAGAGGGTCTCGTGGGATATAGGCTGTATGGTTAGGGTCAGTTTTGAGGTCATTAAAAGCATTTAATGTGGAACCTGCGATGTCGCTGACTGCTGACAACATTCTAGATTTATACTGCTGAAATCACAAATTCACAATCAGAACAGTTTTACACGTTAGTAGATGTAGATCTGGAAAGATGCTGAATGCTGCAAGCTGCTGATTGGAAATACACACTTAAGAGAACATACCAGATTTAGCCTTGGACACACAAGAAACGCGCAAAGTTCACGGCACCACAAAAAACCCAGTCTTGACACCAGTAAAATATTGGACGGTGTTGGATATTGTTGATGTCCTCATGCCTGTTGTGACTTTTTAGTAAAGAGCCGTAAATTCCCACAAGTGAGTTTTCGTTTCCTTGTGTTCTTGTAAACCTTCTTAGTTCCATATTTACTTCATCTACTTGTTAGTCATCATTATCTATTTAGGTATACTTACTATATTGTTATACTCTTGATCTCGAGAATGTCTGCTACAATATAGTCAGATATGATGTTTTGATAAGTGTGCTCATAAAGTGAACTGAATAGCTGCTTTGCTTCATTCACATAAAGTTAAAAGGGAAGTCACCCTCTGCATGGGTACATGAACCTCAGAAGCATGCAGTATCACCTCGGGATTACCCCATGGTTCTGCAATTTCACCAGCGCTCTTTAATGTGTATACAAGCAGGCTTGCAAAAGTTGAAATGCCAGGTGTTGGTAAAACAGGTAAAGTCGGGAGATGTGAACCAGCGCCATTGCACAGTTATAAACCATAAGTGCTCTGCCACCAGTATGGACAGCTGACAAGAAACTGTCCGCCTGTGTTGCCGTCCGCACGTAACTCTGTAGCTACAGCGACGTTCCTCCATTCACCCCAGAGTGGTACCCATTTCCTAAGTTAGTTTGTTCTAAGGCCCTTCGGGGCGACCATCAACACTCAAGGGAAAGGTGAGATGGATACGCAATCAGACTGCTATTGGTACCATTTGAATTGGAACAACGCGCATACTGCTGAAGATGGGGACGGAGCACTTATGGGAATGTCCCACGTGCTGTGTTTTCTTAATTAAACATTAAACACAGTTATTATGTAATGTTTCTTTGAATTGTTTAAAACAAAAAAAGTTACAGAACTTAGTACTGAATGGCTAAATGTGAAATTAAAACCACACTCCAATTTCACTCAAGGCTGTCAGTATCACCTCTGCCCCCTGGCTCATTCCACACCCCAGAGGGCTGTATCTCCTTTGATCTAAAGCGATCAAAAACATTTAAAATGAAAATTTGTAATTAAAAAAAATGTATGCACACTGTACATTTGATACAGAAGTCTACTTGATCATGCTTTATGCTCAGTTGACTACACTTGTTTCCAGGCTGTCACTGCCGATGCGCCCCAATCAACTGAAGCCGAAGACCTTCAGTCCGAGTGGGAAAACTTTGACAAATCTGTAGAATATTCAAGACTCCCTGTCCACTCTGAAGCGTCACAGGCAGATGGTGCCAACAAACAGCCAGGCAGAGATTCTGTCAGCAAGCTGAACCAGTCAAAGACAAGCCTAGTGACTGAGAGTGATGGTGATGATGAGTCCCACCTGCCTCCTGGTGTCAGGAAGAAGAACAGATGCTACAGCAGCAGTAGCAGTTCAGAGGATGAAGCAGCCAAAAAGAAGACAGGGAGTGATTCGGAATCATCCAGTTCTGGTGACTCTGATGCATCGTCAAGCCACTGTAAGTGTCTGTTAACTTTACCTCTTTCATCTTCATGCGCCGCCCTCCAAATATTTCTCACCTCTTTTCTTAGGTAAAGGAGTTTGAGATTGAGATTCTCTGAGAGTTTTGTTGGCAATATCTTAATTATCAATAAGGCTTCTCATGCAGCGTAAATCAGAGGGTAGATAGAAAACCATCATACATACCTCGGTCCTTCAAGTTGGTGTGATTGAAGCGTGGCGTAGTAGATGATCCCGACCTTTGTAGAACCTCTTTATGCTTAACCAGGTGAGCTTTTTATCTAGGGGCAGCAGTTCAGTGAGGGAAAGAGGCACTAATCACAAACTTCCATTATCCAGTGAAAATAAGGCCTTGGTTTACCTGAAGTCGTGGGCAAGGGCTGAAAGATGCAGACAGTCCAGAAAAGTGTCACGGCACCACACAGCTCCTCCCCTCCCTGTAAGAACGAATACAAGGAAGTTGTTTTTGCTTGTCCCCAGCTGTGGGTGGCATGTTAGACCTTCAGATATTGTAGGCGTCAGCATCAGAAGGAGCATGGCCAGTTCCTTTTTATTAGCATCCTTCTTTTCCTATAGAAAACAAATCAACACTTAAGGGAAAGTTGAGATGGATGTACAGTCAGACAGTTACTGGTACCGTCAGTATCAAAACTCTTTGCATGCTGCTACAGATGGGGATGGGGCGCTAATGGGAGTGTCCTGAATGCTGTGGTGTCGGCTCTTTATTCAACATTCTTTCTTTTTCCACATGTTGCCATGAATATAAGAATTGTCTAGTGCTCATTTTAATTAGGCTACCTCAAGCACAGAGCTGTAAGGGAAAAAATTAGTCTCTTTTCCTGCCATTGGTGCTGGGGTCATATTGTATAGGCCAGTCAGCACTCAGTAGTTACCGTCACTTCCCAGAACATGACCTGGTTTTAGACTGGGTCACGGCTGTGCTAGTTGGTGTCATGAAGTGGCTTCAATTACGCAATTGTAATGAGTGGTTTGTATGTGGTTCTCGCTGTCTAGGCGGTGTTCATGCGTGTGTGGTGGATGATACTCTCACACGCTTCACGTTACACACCTGGCACAAGCCGACACCGATGTGAGCTTACGAGACATTACTTTATTGACGTATTACAACTTACGACAAACAGAATCGTCCAGTCGATGTCTAATTGAACCGCTTTCGTACACAAACTCACGCAGCCTTTAACGAATAGTCTTCTGCAGGCATTCAAGCAACGATGGGTCCCATGGATTCAACACTGACGTTTGGACATCTCACACGCTAGCATGGTCGATCTCAGCTTAACACTTCGTCGGCAGGTCTCCTTTCTCCTCAGGCACTCACGTAGACATTCGCACATTCAGACGCTCGTCCTCTCGCTCCAACAGGTCGACACAAACTAACCTTGACCAGAGTCAAGTCTGACTTATACCACGGGTTCCTTTCACGTGACAACACGTGGTGGTCCTTTACTTTTCCCGTGGCGACCTTGGGTCGCATCACCGTGGTCCCCGTGATACCTAGTGGTTAGTCACCTATCTCCAGATTCTCGTTTAATCCAAGTATCTGGACTATCTCGGTGTTTTCGGTCAGCTTTGGGCCTTCCCCCCAACCATCCTAAACTGGGTCGAAAATATCCCCCATTACATATATAAATATATATCCTCAAACCCCATAGTTAATAAATAAAGTCTAGAATGTTCTGCACCATAGGAATCTATGACGTGGAATTTAAATGTGTTGCTTGGGATTCAACCAATCTATAGTAAGGGTGAAAAAATGTAAGCGTCACTCCTTACCGACACCTCAACCTAACCTTGCAAAAACGTAAGAATAATTAGAAAATAAATTATCTTTACCTCTAAAGAGTTATTAAAGAAGATATAAGAATAGTACTTTGTAAATAACGAGAGGAAATTCTTTGATTCTGTTATCAACTCTAGAAAATAAATTAGAAAAAATTGATAAACAAGGTCATAGTGAACAAAGAGATAGTTAACGGTTTCAGTGGATGTTTATAATAAAAGTATATCATGGATAGCTGTTTTTAAATATTAAAGTCCTGTAAGTATTGGCTGTTAAAGAAGGTAAAGCCAAACAAGTGATTTTATTAATATGAAATATGCATGTTATTTGCCATTGAAAATAAAGTTATTTTAGTGAAAGACAAATGGAAGTTACATTGGTAAATGCCCTGCCACTTCTAGGCAATGAACCCAGACCACCAACTTGGTAAGCCAGCACACTAAATTCTGTGCCACCGCATAGAAGCTGAAGAGATGTATTCAGTTGATCATGAGTTCACAGACTGCTAATTTGGTTGTCTGGTCATGGCGTTTCCAACCATAGGGCACAGATACATACCTAGCTGAAGGCTGTCCAATATTTATACAGTTGGATGGGGTAGTCAAGATTTGATCCGGTTGGATTGGCATTCATATAGTGGCTGATTGAGTCATATAGTGACAGACGTTGCAATTCTGGCAGGGGACATGATTTTTTTTTAAGTCTATTTCTTTATCAGCCTGCAAGTTTCACATCATGTCTTTGTTCCACTGTTTGTTGAATGCAATCATTGTGGTCATCATTTTGCACTAAAACAACAGTTGATGCAATACCCCATTTTCATAATAGAAATATTATTTACTTACTATGTGGTCTGAGACATTAGCGTTTTTCTTTCACTCACATTTTTATCCATCTACAGTATTCTCATCATTTGTCTATGAAACATCACCTCTGCAGCTTCCATATAATTTCTCATTCTCAACGTTTAACATTTCTGAGCCCGTTTCACTTGTTACCTGAAGCAAATTATACTTATTTCTACAGCTAAGACTGGTGGGAAGAAAAAAAGTAGCAAGGATTCCAAACCTCCAGTGTTGAAGAGGGAAACACCAGAGATACAGTCAAAGAAGGTAATCAGCACTGTTTGTTGAATTTGTTATCCATGTACCACATTACAAAACACACTACCTAACTGTGACACAGTTATAAATATTTGTGGTTCTTTGTGCTTGTAGATTCTAAAACCATGGCTCACACGCCTTGTATGTTGTCTGAACAATTTAACAGTTAGTTGATAAAGATTCAGTCGTTAAGATGTATCATAAAAAATGACTGTTTGTATATCAAAAACAATTTTAGATCAGCTTGAAACTCAACGTCAGAAGAAGAAACTTAGTAGCAAGGGAGAATCATCTTCATTTGGCAGTTTCTTTGCAGAATGTTGCTGTTATCACAACCTGCCATTATACTACTGGTCCCTTAACACTTCCCCTGCCTTTTGTACTTTTATGTCCAAGATATCTTGTCCATCGTTATGTTGTTCAGCCCAGGCTGCTTCTTCCAAGAATTAAGCCTTTCGTTGTTCTATTTTCGCTTGTTTATAATCCGACCCTCCATGATGAGCAATCCCTTTAAAATGATTTTTTTTTCCTCATCTCAAGAGAATGTATGCATCATCATCATCATCTGTTGTCAGTCACATAGAACTTGTAGTCTATTCTTCCATTCCTTTCTATTCTTTTTAATGGCACAAGTATTATGAATAGAATCCAGTCCGGCACATTTATCCTTGCTTAACAGCATTCATCTTAAGAATATCAAATGGGTTTCACTATCTTTCATTCTTCTGCAGTCACCTTTAAAGGACATTTGGTACATTGCCTCATGTGCTAGGCAGCAATATTTACACCTCTCATTGCACATATCATTTAAGTAAAACCCTAATTAGTCACAGTTTACAACATGCTTGTTTCGAGGCTTGTCTTTTTCCTCCCAAAAATGGGGTTTGTTATTCAAGTCTACGCTATCCTTGTTCACACATTACCACTGATATTTTATATGAATAGAACTACTCATTAATACATTTTCACATGCATAATTAGTTTACTGTCTGAAACTCAGAAACCAAATGGAATACAGAATTATGTTTGTTTACGAGAAAAATACATTTGGTTCATCTGCCACTCCGGGATGGACTTGAAATATTTAAACTGAAAAAAAAAATTATGGGGAATCTTTGTGAAGAACCCAGGATTGATCTCTTTGCTTGCTATATACACATAGGTATTTCTCCAAATCAAAAGGCTCGTCTGCACGAGCCTCCTTCTAGTTGGTGCATAAAAGGTGATCTATGCTGCCAGATGATGTCGCTGCAACAGCGTAAGTTGTGGGTTTGTATTGACACCCCTCCCGAGTGTAAGTAAGGAGGTGTATTATAAATCAGCTTTGGCCGGTGAAGCACACATTCATTACTGAAATTTGAAAGTTATCAATTATTTGTTAACGTGTTTATTTTTAGGGAAATATACAACAGAATTGTTATCTTTTAGCTTGTTTGTGTGTGTGTGTGTGTTGAAAATGAGGTTGGGGGTTGGTATAATTTCCTCTGTGTCTAAATAATCATTTCCATCATTACAGAATTTTATTTTTTTAAAGGATTGCACTTATGTGTAATAAGTGTTCTTTACTATATTCATGCTGGTTTTGGTTTAAAATCTTTTTTTGGATTTGTGTGTTAGGAGTAAACTGTATCTTCAATGTACACACAAGCATACATACAGTGACATTGTTTTCATGATTGTGCAGTTGTTTTCTGGGGCAGGCTCCTGTCATTCTCTTTTTGATGTTTTCCTTATTGTGCACTTCTGGATTCTGTGAAGATAATCTAACTCATAACTTAGGTGAGGTAACTAGCAGGAAAAAAAAGAAGTCTGCAGTTATTATGCCTTGATTGCCTAATTTATCACAAGCATCAGAAAGAGGTAGGCATCATTTTCTAGTCAAGTTCTGAGAAGAAAGAATCAGGAGCATCTTGACAGCCTGACATATTAATTGGGTGAAAGAGATACAAGAAGAAAACAACTTGAGAAGAATCTGGATGGATAAGCTTTTGCTGTATCTATTTTTGTCATGGCATTGGAGGGTTGTCACTTCATGAACTGATGCATGCTCTTGGGAGTACAAAGTCTTGGAGAGATATGATTGGCCAGAAAAGTCTGCAAAGCACACAATGATGGTTGATTGTCTTTTTTTTAAATTTAAATAGTATATATAATACTTTATATGGCATTAAGTGTTGTATAAGGACAAATCAACTTGTAGGACATGTAGAGAGAATGGTAGATCACAACAAAAACTGCATACACAAAAGGGCTAGCTTGGGCTGAGCCTCAAGAAGACAATGGAGAGATAAGCAGGCAGCACAGCAAGTACTTTTTGTCAGTCAGGGAAAGTCTGGCCCACCTGAGTGACTCTACAAGACAAACTATTGTTTGTGACCTGTGTCATTGATAGTGCATAGCAAACCCCGAGCACTAGAAAAAATATGGGTTAATATTGTTACAGGACTAGCCACATTCTGGAATCCTTAAGGAAAAGTTTAATATTGTGAAATGGAGCAAGATCAGATTTGGTTGTTTGTCCAGCTGGGGAGAATAGTAAGAGAGACAGTTGAGGGAAGTCTGGGTGGGGGTTCGGGGAAAAATAAATCCAAGCTCAGAGTGTGTCAAAAGAAGTCCAAGTAAAAAGAAAGTAAAAGTAGGTTTAAGAGTAAAACATGCTGTAATAAAGTGTGCTGTAGTAAAGATCAGATCAAGCAACAGATACTTGTGTTGTCTGAAAAGTGCAGATACCGCACCCATGCCGTAAATGACCACCACACAGTTATATCCTCAAATGAATGAAGAAGAATATTCTGATGCAGAATAGGACTATGAGTCATGTGTGAATTTTATTTTTTTTTAAACCCAGGGCTAAGAAAGAAATTTGAAGATGTCTGAAATCAGACATAATTAATTAGAGAGCAACAGATACAGTGGTTTGGTCATCCGTAAAATTGCCCTGCTACCAACTATTCAGGAAATCAAGTATAAAGCATTTAATTATTCTGAAAAATAAAGAGGGCTAAAACACAAATGAATTAAAGATGAATTAGTGGGAATTTATAGAACCAAAAAAAAATAGTTAAATGGTATTACCGGTTGGCAGGAATGGCCTGGTAATAACTGCAGATTGCTCAGCTTGGAAGAAATGTAATGAACACATGGCACAGACTGGAATTACATCATCAAGAAGTTAAGCATTATTTAAAAAAAAAAAAAACACACAATCATGAAATCTTGCCTCCCCGCTTTCCAAAACTTAGCCAGAGGAAGATGATTCGAAGAAAAAGACAGAAAAAAGAAAGGTTATTGTCAAAATAAGACGTAATAAAAAGGTTTAAAGACATGTATTTTCTTCTTGCCATTGTGTAGATTTCATGGCTAAGCAGAGTAAACACCTATATTATTGTTGATTGTATGTAAATTTTTTGTTGCTTCTTTTTTTCTGTGAGGCCTTTCATTACTGTATATTTATTTTGCATGTGGTCGTATCGTTTCATCTCCAGAGTCAGCGCAAGTCTCCATCCAGATCCTGTTCACGTTCTCCCCAGCGGAAGAGAAGACATTCACGGGACAGGCGGTCTAGGTCTCAGAGTCGGCGCTCCACTAAGGATGTAAGTGTTTTACTGCTGTGTTGTGGGACGAGGACAAACTGGAATGTGTTGTGACAAGTAGAAAGCTTTATGGAAGTTAAAGGAAGACAACAAGAGAAGATAACTGAGAGCTTTTTGTCATGATATGTCACCCATCGTCAAATTTATTGAGAAACAAAAAATGAAATGGTTTGGCCATCTAATAAGAATGAAACCAACGATGCCAGCAGCAAGAGCATACAACCTGAAAATCAAAACACCAAGAGGCATGGGAAGACCGAGAAGAAGTTGGATTGAAGGAGTCACTGGCACCTTGAGACTGCATATCAAGCGGCCGATCGTCTGATGAACTGTGACGCTTAGTGACATCAGCAGATACTGACAAAAGAAGAAGGTGTACAGATGCATGCTGTTGGCGGTCATAAGATGTTGTGAAGCATGACAGACCTGGCCTTTTGCAAGACCACTTGCTCAAATGTTGAGGTATTGTTATTGTTAGTGCACTACGGTTTCATCCAAGGTAGTTTCAGAATATGTACATTTTAAATTGCAGAGATTCACATTACGCTGGATTGTATCCCTTACAGCTTGACCTTTGTCCCCTGCGGAGAGTGTCATTAATGGTAGAAAGAAATGTGAAGTAGTATATGAATATGGAGCAGGGCCATATATCTCCATTGACACCCGCTGGAGTAAAGGAGGACGTAAAGAAGTAGTAGTATATGCATTTCAAATTTTTTTTTCATATGCAGTATTGTATGTTTCTACAAATGAGTAATGCTATGGTAGGACTGATTTCATTAGAAACCAAGAAAATGTTCCTTTTATAAACAGATAAGACTGAAACTGGAAAAGGCTGTGACTTGTGGAAAAAGGAATAGAGGAAAACTAGGAAGGAGATTCTTCACAACCTTTAAACGTGGCATGGTGTCACCGCACAAACTGATACATGCCGTTGGTAATTGCAAGTTGTAGAGAGACCCAATCGTCCATGCTCTGTTCGGCAAGGAACTTGATGGTGTCATCAAACAGAGACCACAATGAGCAGTGATGTACAGACCCAGAGAGGAATCAAAAGTGAGGCTAACAATGATAGCAGAAGGAATCACTTCTGTGGTTTACACCACTAATGAGCACATCATCTGGTTATAATTCATCTTGACTCTGCAGGGTACAAGAGGGAAAAAGATGATTTGATTCTGTTGATAATTTTCTGTGTTCTTTGCAGTTTGTGCATTTCAAAAGTGTGCTGTCGATTCTCTGATATGCAGCCACCCCAAGGTACCTCTGCTGATTGTTCCCATAAGAAGTTGGTTATATCTCCTGTCTTGACCCCGAAGACGACAAAGACGGGCTTCAGTCGGCTTTCCTCCCAGGTAATGGGATCGGGTCTGACCCCTGATTGTCCGCCGCCAGTCTGGTCTATACTGTGTTGGTACTGTTAGACCTGTTTGTGCTTCTGACCACCTGCAACCTTACTTACCACTTGGTCGGCTTGTTTCTTACCCCTTACTCTAGCATGCCCAGGTAGGAAAGGTTAAGTTCAACCCCCCAAAGCTGTGTACCCATTCAGAATAGTGACTGACTGCCTGTTGAGATTTTCTAAAGCATAGTCATGAAATCTGATACATCATGTGTAGATGCTTTAATAAAAATTATGTGTGTGTAGATGTTACATTTATATTTTATTTTATTTCTTTTCAGGGACGGCACGACTCACGCCGCGCGAAGTCTAAGGAACGGAAGCGGTCGAAAGAACGAGAAAGCAGCAACAGGCATAGAGAGACAAAGAGCAGGCGGAGCCGCAGTCGCGAGCGGCGGTCAGAGAGGGCTTCAAGAAGCAGCTTTGATAAAAGCAAGAGAAGTCGAAGTAAAGAGAGGAGTAGGAGAAGCCGGAGCAAGGAGAGAAGCAAGCAAAGTCAGAGTAGGGATAAGAAGAAGAGGAGCCTGAGCAGAGAAAATGAAAGTGGAGAAAAGAGCAAAAGAAGTGAGAGCAAGGAAAGGATTAGAAGTCAAAGTGTGGAGCATTTAAAGAGTCCAGCTCTGGAGAACAGTAAGAGAGATCCAAGTGAGGAGAAAGAAAAGATTGAGGTTAGTCCAGGTGGGGATCGAGACAAAAGAAGTCCAAGTAAGGAAAGTGTGAAAAGGAGTCCAAGTAAGGAGAAAGATATGGGGGTTGACAGTAAAGAAAGAAGTAAGAGAAGTAGAAGTCGGGATAGGAGTAAGAGAAGTAAAAGCAAGGAGAGGAGCAGGAGAAGTAAAAGTAAAGACAGGAGTAGGAGGAGCCGGAGTAAAAGAAATAAGGAAAGGAGTAAGAGAAGCCGAAGTAGAGAAAGAAGTAAAAGAAGTCGGAGTAAGGATAGGAGTAAAAGAAGTAGAAGTCGTGATAGAAGTAAGAGAAGCCGGAGCAGGGATCGGATTAAGAGAAGCCGAAGCAAAGATAGGAGTAAAAGAAGCAGCCAGAGCAGGGATAGGAGTAAGAGAAGTCGGAGCAAGGATAGAAGAAGCCAGAGCAAGGATAGGATTAGGCGGGAAAGGAGAAGGAGTGACAGAAGTGCTAGTCCAGTGGAAGCCAAGGTAAGTTATATATGTTTTCTAGCTCAGTCGGTCAGGTGCTGTCTTCACAGTAAAGGCTTTTTGCATTGAATATCCCACATGCTCAATTTCCTCTTTGTGTGTGTGTCTGCCTACAACTATTTTCTCAGTGTAGTTCTTATTAGTGTCTGTGAGCATGACCAGCACTGCAGACGGCATGGCATCAGTAAGTCAGGTGCCCTCTCCACAGCAAAGGTTGTGTGCAGTGGATCTCCTACTCTGTGTCTCTCAGACTGCTGTTTATTTATCTCTTGGTGTTTTGCTCACTTACCTTCAACTTTTCTCTCTGGTGTGTTTTTGTATGTGTACAAGTATATGGTCCTTCGAGTGACAGATACCAGACAGACCTAAACTGCATAACACAAAAAAGCTGAAAATGGCAGACCAGGAAGAGGCTGGAGAGATAATGTACAGGCAGATTTACACATACCCAAAGACTCCTTTTTTTTCAGGGGATGGGGGGAGGGGCAAAGGACATTCATAAGGAAGTGCTTCCTGTTTATGCTGACAAATACATGTCTCCTAAAGCAGCGCACAGCTGGGTATAAACAAAAAAATTCTCAGGAGCGCTCTAAAATTGTTTATGAAGTCAGATCTGGTTGTCCTCTTGAGATTGCAACATACGCATCCATGCAGCGGGTGGAGGAGATGATTAGAGGTGGCAGGCGAGTAATGGTTGGCTCTGTAGCAACTGCAATAGGTTGATCACATGGTTCAGCATACAACATAATGCATGATCAATTAAATTTTTGATCCACTGAAAACCCACCTTGGTAGGAGACATTTAGCATGTGAAGCAAGTTGAACTTGAAATGAAAATGTGGTTTAGAAAACAGAGCACGTAGTTCTGTGCAGCAAGTTTAGAAGGACTGATAAAACGATGGAACAAATGCATCAGTGTTAGTGGTTATTGTGTTGAAAAATAAAAGGGCAGTTTGTGTGTAAAAATAAACGGTTTGTAAGTTATCTTTGGGTTTTTTTTATTGGTTTTTGTTGGGACTTACTTATTGACTTCCCCTTGTATATCTGTCTTACCTTCCCCTTGTATATCTGTCTTACCTTTCTTTTGAGTGTTGAGCATCAGCCAGATCCCTTGGTCTTCATTCCTCGGAGCACCACTCTCCAGATCGTGATGATCTTGTTGTGCTCCCGCACTGTTCGCTCACTCCCAAAGGACCTCTACAACATTCTTGTCATGCGTCATTTCACCACCAGGTGGCACACAACCAGCCAGTCTATCAACTTGTTAATTCCTACCATACTAGCTTACTCAAAGAAAATATCCAAAGGATTCTAACTACCTGGGACCTCTGAAGTGATGATTGTCACTCTGCACAAAGCATACCTGTTGCATCAATGCAGACAAATCATAAAGGGCAAGACCTGAGATCGTGAAATCGATTTTTTTCGTCTTAGAACACCCTCAAATTATTTTATTTATATTGTTATGCTGTCTGTTAACTCTTTCATACCAGTTGACAAGCAAATACATTGGTGTCTATTGAAATTTGCAGGTGATTAAGTATGGAGATAGGGTCATCAAAGCGGGTGCTAGTTTTGGGCGACCGCCTCCCTCTAAGCCGATGACTTTCAAGGAGAAGATGAGACAGCAGCTGATCAAGACCATTGAAGAGGGTGGTGATGTGTCACAAGCTTTTACAGACAAAGGTGTGTGGTTCATTGTGTGTCTCTTTGCCCACTGGTGCTTGTTAAAACTTTTTTTTTTTCAAACATGGTGTTTACATCATGAGAAATATTTTCCAAGTGCAGCTCTGGAGTACATTCTAGGATTTTGTATGATCCCCCATATATGTCCCAGGCTAGACCAAGGCGATTCAACTGGGGGCCCACAGAGGCCTAGCAAGTGGCCCACAGATCATTGCCAGTTGTATTAATGATCTTCTTACAGGGAGCTCGTGCCTCTGACCATCCGCATTTCAACATTTTGGCCATTGGGTAAATATGGTTGTTGAATAGCCATGACCTAGAAAGTGTAACATTGTAACACTTAGTCTTAGTCGAGGTTTCAACTTCACAACAGTACTTCACAACAGTCAAGTTCTCCATACTTGCTCCCTCGCTGTCTCATTTGAAAAATTGGTGCACAAACAATTGGTCCATGGACAATCCAGAAATATGTGCATACAGTAAATGCATATGGCAGTTACTAGAGGTGCCAAAGCCAGCTGTTGCCACCAGAAATGCAGTTTGTCGTTGTTGGAAGTAGTCGGGCACGATAAGTTGGCTATACACAAATAGAACCACCACATAATGTATTTCACCAGCTCACACATAAACTGGCTAGCGGCTGTATTGAATACCATGACACAACCGCTGAGGGCTTGTCATGCCAGAGATACATTGGGCATGTGAAGTTAAGACTCATTTTTTAAAATATACCAGTCGGCACTCAGTGTATGATGTGGTCAGCATCATGCTGCCATTACCTCATATCCATTTTAGACTAGGTCCACCTGGCAGTTGTGGCCATTACTGAGGTTTTGAACACACAGACAATCTTCCAGGATCTAAAACCACACTAATATTGTTCTTTCCAGATGGAACCGTCATCTGCACGAGAACAGCAGGCACCCAGCAGATACCTGCTGCCAAGACAGCACCTGTGCCTCTGATGGCCAGCCTGGTGCCACCACCTCCTGGCCTGCCTACAGCAACAATCACTGCAAATGAAGCTGCCATGCAGTCTATGTTGGCCCTGCAGAAAGAGGTGCGTTTTGTTGTTGTTTTTGTTACATGCGTTATTCCAAATTAGAACACAAAAGTGATATGTAGCTCCTTTTTTCTTCCTTTTACCTGCAGATTGAGGTGGTTTGTCATTCTTTGTTCTACAGAAAGAGTGATTTTTTCTGTTACCTGCAAACAAGGATTATCTGTAGTTTTTGTTGGCAGGAACATGTGATTTGTAAGTTTTGTTACCTGCAGAAAGATGTGATTTGCAGTTTCTGTTACCTGTAGATGTAGGTGATATGTAGTTTATGTTACCAGCAGAAAGAGGTGATTTTTAGTGCCCTTTTGATTTTGTTACCTGTAGAAATAGGTTAAATGTAGTTAATGTTTTTTGCAAACAGGTGATAGGTGATTTGCAGTTTTTGTTACCTGTAGCAATGGGTGTTTTGTAGTTCTTTGTGTCTGACTTGCAGTAAGAGGTGGGTTTTAACGAGCATTTAGCCACTGCATTATGCATTCATCCAGTCTCTACCACAAAGGTTGGCTTCAGCATCTCCTGCTATCTTTGAAAATATTGTGAGGCCCCAATATCTTCTGTGGTGTGAATCTCACAACCATTGTCTGCATACTGCTTTAACAATTTAACCATCCACCGCACACATCAGACCCTAGTGCTCAAAGATCCAGATTTTGTTTGACTCGTTCACTATCTCTTAGTCGCAGAGTCATGCTTACTGCCTTTTTGGAACTTTATCTTGCGGGTGAACACACATTGCCAAATCCTTGTTACCCAGAGACAGTTGCATAACCTGTTTTAATGCTAATGTTTCTTCCTGATCGATTCCATTTCAGGCGACAGAAAAAACTGGGGTAGAAATTCCAAAATACTACAACCCCGCTGCCATCAACCCTATGAAGTATGCTGAGCAGGTGCAAAAACGGAAACTTCTTTGGTCAAAGACAAAAGAAAAGGTAATTTAATTGTCTTTCTTATTATCCATGTTGTGTATTAGTCTTTCCACTGAGCTTCACCGGCAAACCGAAGGGTCAGGCTTGAAAAAAAAAACAACTTGTGTAAGGCAACAAGGTAGTTTATCCACTTGACTGTACATGCTTTGGCGATGTACCTCAGAGACGAGGAGCCAGCAGTCTGTACACAAAGAAGAAAGATCTTGGTTTCTAACCCTGACAATAAGTGGCTGCAGAAGTTGGATGTGTCGGCTACAGCCATGTTGTAGACAGGCACAGCGCATTTACATCCTCAGATAAAGTCAGAAGAAGAAGATAGATCTGTAAAATGGATCTGCATGCAGAACTCATGTTCTTAAACAAGACCAAAGTACAGAGGTGGACAAATAACCAGAATTTTCTGTCAGCACTTACAGCTGTTAACTCATAGAGGAGCTAGGGAGCATAGACTGGAGTGAAGGTTGCGGGGAATGACCAGTGGATCTTGCTGACACTCTGTACTTAGGAAAGGCAAGAAGGACATACTAGGTCCGGCAATTAAGTAATGAGACTAACTCCATAAAAACTAAAATAATCAACAATTGAAGATGTCACCTGTATCTGATTCAAAGTTAGCTCCGTGTGCACTGATACAGCGAGTGTCAGGATCTAATAAACACTGGAACTACCACTGTAATTCTTCTGTCGTTATGGCCTTAAAGTCGATGTTACGGCCCTTTGGATGTCATCAGTATCGTTAAAGAAGTGTCATTTCAATCGTAACTTAATTTTGGGAATAGAAAATAGTCACAGGGAGACAAATCTGGGGAAAAGGGCGGATGGTAGAGAACACGCATCTGTTTTGGGACTAAAAATTGCTGTACAACTACCACCCTTTGAGTTGGTGCATTGTCACAAAGAAGGAAAACAATTGCCAGGCATTGAATACAAACCGACAAGCAATTTTTTCTTGCAAAAATCTTTCACTAAAATCTTACCAATAGTCTATGTGTTTACACCAAATTCATCTACTGTCATCCTAACATTTGAACAATGATCTTCTTTTGTCCGTTCTCAGAATGTTGCAATAAGTTTCTCATTACGAATAGAAATTAGGCGTCCAGGTCTAGTTGCATAAGTAATCATTTCCACACCACTTTTAAATCGTGAATACCAGATGAATATATGTGCACAAGATAAACAATTATCCCCATAAACTTGTTGCATCAATTCAGCTGTTTCAATGGGGCTTTTTCTGAGTTTTAAACAAAATGCAATGAGCTTTTTTGCTCAATGCTGATTACATAACAGTGTACCTCTGACTAGGTTAATAAAATGGCAACTCGTTTGTTGTCTGCTTATCGAGCAGCGATGAAGACGAAGGTTGTCCCTTTGGATTCCATGCTTTGATTCATAGATGGCATTTTTGTCTTGGTCATAATAAAGTCAGTCTCATTACTTAATTGTTGGACCTTGTAGAGTTGGAGTGCTGTTGGCACCGTCAGAATTTGAACTCTTTGCTGGCTGTTAAATGTGGGAGGGGGGGGGGGATATGAGAATGTCCTGTGTGCAGTTTCAGTTCTTAACTCAGCATGCGGAAATGGAATATGTTTGGGGTTTGGGGGGGTTTGCTGGCGCAGATTCCCAATTCCTGGCCAGGATTCCAAAGGTTCCTTTAGCCAGGTACTGAGTTGAGTGCTTGGTGCAACACTGTGAGCTGTCTATTTTGTGTGGATTTTTATTTAATCAATATGAGTGGCATGTACTTAGGCAGTGTTGCTGGTGCAGTGCCCACCTTTGCAGTTGATTGTTTGCATCTACTGAGTAGTGTTTGTGGTGGTGGGCTGTTGGTGTTGACACATCTTATGTAGCCGCATAATGCATTTACATTACATGTGCGAGCATCAGGATTTTGCTTTGACTGATGTGCTTATCTGTAAAAAAAAAAAATATTAATGGGAGGGTGAAGATTGTGTGATTTTCACTGGCACATGAACGAAGCAGTTGTGGGGTGACCCATCTGCAATCGGGAGAAAGGTGAGGCAGATATACAATAAGACAATCACTGGTGTCATAGGAATTTTAACTCTTTGCTTGCTGCTGGAGATGGGGATGGAGCGCTTATGGAGTGTCCCAAGTGCTGTGATGTCCATTCTTAATTCAACATTCAGCCATCTGCAATGAAGTTAAAACATTGACAGCTACTAAAACCATCTGTAAATAATTAATAATGATTATAAATTTTTCTTTTTTAATATTCACATCAGGATGTCAACACTCAGTGGAACACCACAAGCTTGTCCAGTGACCATGACGACAAATCGAAAGAAAAATTCCGCAAACTTATGGGCATCAAACAGGAAACTGGTGACGGCGTAGACGACGACCAGGATCTCAAGCAGAAAGAGCTATTTGAAAAACTGGACAAGGAGTACCAGTTTGCCCGCATGGCTACTCACACACACCGTGGAGTAGGGCTCGGATTTGGATCTAGTGGTTACCAACCACCTACATCATGAGCATGTATTGGCACGACTGAAATCATATTGATAGGTTTGGATGCTGTGTCATGGGAGACGATGCTTGTCGAATGTTTGTTTCCATCATTGAGTTGTTGTTCCTGAATGACAAAGTTTTGTTATCTACTGCAGGCTTAGGCTCAGTGATCTTGACATTACTGGTGAATCGGCCCTCATGTCCTATCAGATTCATGATAAGTTAATTATGCTTGGTCATAGGTCACAATAATTAGATTAGCTGCAAGGTAAATACATTTGTTTGGAGGTCACAAGAGTTAGGTTAAAAAATGCAGTAAAACAAATCAAGCTAATAATAACTTGATCTTCCTTGGAGGCAAACTCTTCTTAGAGAAATACAATTTGACTTGTGTCTACAAAGCAGTTTAAACAAGATGGAGAAACAGATAGATACACTAGAGAAAAGAGTATTGAGGGAAAGGGGAACTTGCAGAAGTAATTACAATTAGTTCCTTGGATTACTAGAAACATTAGTAAAACTATGAATTTTTAAGTAGTTCTAAATATGGAATGGTTAACTTTTAATGTCAGATCAGTACTGCTATATGGATTAAACTACGGAGAAGGACTAAAACAATCATTAGTTAGCAATGTTCATTCATTATCATTTGTTGATTGTCAAGATGGCTAAAAGAGCAAGAAAGAGAACCATGTATCTTCCCACAACGACTCTAGGAGTTGTAATGGATGATGTGAAGAAGAAAGTTTATTATCTTAATCTGGATTAGATATTTCGTCGAAAGCAGTTGCAGAGAATTAACACAGGTGTAAATATAATGTATATTTTTTAAGTCCACCTTCATCAGTGAATCATGCAGTGTCCCAGGAACATGAGTTAAGAATCTGCACCACAGCATGTGGGACATTTCCATAAGTGCCCTGTCATATCAGCAGCAGCCAGTGCAGCGAATTATGGTTGTATTAATATGTATGTTAGCCCAATCTTTTTGGGTCAATCATGCATTGTCTTAGATGCTTGAGTTTACAACCGGTATCATAACTAGGGACAGTCCCATAAATGCTTCATCCCCATCATAAGGAGCTGAGCAAGTTCCAATTTCTGTGGTACTAGCAGCAGTCTGATTTCATGTCCATCTTGCTATTCCTCTAAACTTTGAGTATCAGCCAGGAACTTCTCAGAATAATCAGAGAGAGGAAGCCATCATTTTTCGTTAGATTTATTTGGCTCCCAGATCGAGCCTGCCTAAAATCACCATTTTAAATCCTGAGAAATAAAGGCGGCCAATATAATGTTGACAACATCACCTACTGAGCGCTGATTGGCCTTCTTCTCCTTATCCGCTCACTGATATTTGGTTGAAGCCCATTGTCATGGTCTTCTGTATTTGTCTTGTGCTTCTCGGGTGGCTTTAGTGGTGGATTTTAGTTAATTCAATGTTTCTTGAGCAGTAGCAATCAAATACACCACTGCCGGCTTGCTGGGCCCGCCGTTTTGGCGGGGCAGGAAAAATTCTGGCCTGGTTGGTGCCTGTCTCCTTCCAGGCGCACCATTGCCCTGTAAGCCTGAAACCTTGTGGCTTGTTTTCCGGTGTATACTGCGGGGAGGTGGGTATTGACCTTGATGCTCTGCAGATCATTGGCAGGCTGCTTAAATTTCACTTTCACTCTCTAAAGAGAAGCTAGCCAACCTTAACACTGGAGTGCCACTTGTATGAAAGAGTACTTTTCCTCTTCACTATACTCTGTCCCCACCTGGGACGAATTTTTTTAATTTTGAAGTCCACCCCGGTTGTTGCCGGGGGGCCCTAATTATCACCTGGCATTTGAATGGGGTATTCTGGGCCTCTTTACAGGTGATCCTTATCCAAGTGGTGGCACTTTGTGTCACCAAGTGTTTGTCGCTCTGTGATGTCCTGGTGACCATTTTCCTCAGACCATGATAATCTGTTTGTGCTTCTACACTGATTACTCACTCCAGAAACACCCTAACAACATCTGGTCTGCTCTGCATCAATTTACCATGAAGTGGTAAAGAACCATCCAGTCTAATCTGCCTATTCATTTCTCAACACACCGGAATAACCTGGTAAAAACAAAACACCAACCAGTCGGTACTTCTGAGGTGATGCTGGCCACGCTGCATGGAGCATACCTGTCTTCACATTTCTCAGCATGCTCTGTGAGTCAGTTATAATCATGACATGCATGTAGAGCTGGTTCTTATGCCAGGAAAGGCTGCTGTGACAACAATGCTGCAGGTGATGTTATAGTGTAGAGCGGTGGTTCCATGTAGACCATTTTTACCCCATACATTCTATTTGTCTTTTTGAAGAAATTATAAATATTAGGCTCACAAAAAGAATTGCATTCTAAAGCTGATACTCTGTTTTTCTAAGTGATATCAGACAAATTAAATTTTTTTAGGGCACCATACAATGGGGAGACAATTATGACCAGACTGCAGAAACATGTTTAAAAAAGGGGGTGTGGCCAGACAAGACCACAATAAGGAAGCCAAAGAATTTAAAAAAAAAAACCAGCACAAGACTTGATGTCGTCAACCGCTACACACTGCAGGATTTACTAAGGAGGGGGATCTGTGCACTTATGGACTGAATGGTTCGATGTGCAATGAGGATAATCTGTCAACTAACTAACTAGCAATGGGATAGACTGGTGTAGTTAAATCACATCACTACTAAAGGAGTAAATGTATGGCATGTGAGTGGCTATAGCCACTGGAGTCATTTGTTTATTCAGTGTATGCCACGGATATTGCAGTCAGTACAGTGGTGACTGATATATGAGGCTCACCCTGAGAATAAGCAAGCAGAGAATCACCAGTCAGGCACTGACATGGAAAACGAATGGGTTGAAGAAATTGAGGATGCCTCCAAAGAACCTCCAAAGAAAACAGTTGAGAGAGCTGGATGTGCTGCACTAGAATTCCATCTGTGATACTGAAACAGGGGCATAGGATAGAATGAACGATTCAACTGCAAGCTGACTTATAAAAGCATTACATGGTGGTGATGTCTCAGGTAGAATCAGCCTAACATGGGTACCGGGAAGTTAAGGCAGCCGGCGTGATGTTGACCGCATCACCCACTGGATGCCAATTGGTATGCAGGATGTCTCATAAGTAGAGGGCCCACGATGCTAATTGCTATGCAGGATGTCTCATAAGTGGAGGGCCCACGATGCCAATTGCTTTCCAGGATGTCTCATAAGTGGAGGGCACACACTGAAATTTGTTTTTATAGAAAAAATGAAGTTTGTGAAGCCCATTGTTATTGATATAATATGATCTACCCGCTGACTGGCATTGTTTTGAAGGCAGACTTTTGAGTGCGTGTCCTCTACTGTAACAGCACAGCTGGAGACTTGCTTGTAATGATGCCGGTGACATTTATGGGACACCCTGTATGCAAGTGTGCTTCTTAATATCAAAGATCAGGAGTCCCCCATGTTGGTTTTGTGGCCCTTTTTTGAAAGGGGTGGCTAATCCACTGTCCTTCATCTAGTATGTTGTCAAGGGTGACTGATTAGGGATTGCTGAAATGTTGGACCCAAAGATGCTAATATCACTGCCTAGCTGTAAACCACAGCAACAGTGCACTAGATGCCTTTGTAAGAATGGGGGGAGGGGGGGCAAAGAATTTGGTGGGATTGCTGCTTGTATGGACTTCTCTGTGTGTGTGTTCTTTCCTTATTGTTTAAATTTGTAGATGCCAGCACTGATCTATTTTACCTTTGGTGTTAAGTTTGCTGACATATTTGTTGTATATAATTGTGTTATGCCCCATTACATATTAATTGTTAGAATACAATTTGGTGTGTATTGTTTATTTTTTTTATCGTAAGTGTTCTGCATAACTGGATGCTACCTATACTGCTTCTCTTCCTCATGTTTGCAGGCTGTAAACTCAGCAGAAAGTTCTTTTTGTTCATCCACGTCATGTTCCAAAGCCATAGTTTTGCATGCACCTCCGGTCTACAGATCTGGATTTTCTAATGCAGACTGTTGGTTCCTTGTTTCTCAGGCAGATACACTGACTGCGAGGAAAACAGCACTAATCAGTTGACTTTTACAACATACTTGTTGGTAGGCAGTGGTTCCTCCCCCTACATACACACAAAGTTGTTCCAGAACCCACATGGGGACTCTACAGAACGGCAGGGTAGCACCTGGTGTAGCCATTCCAGCCTTTGATGCTTCAATCCTTTAGTCGTCTTCTTCTGCCTTTCAAACCCCCAATAGAGCATAGGCCCTCAACATACTCACGCCAGGTTCTATCCTTCGCTATCGCAGGCAGCTCTCCCCATATTTTTAACTTCCCTCTCCAGCTCTCTTTTGTTTTTGAATTCTATGAAGGGTTCCAGAACCGACAGGAAACTATGGCGGTAGTACTGGATCTCGAGGATGCTCATAACAGAGTAAGATAGGACATCTTGATGACTGCAGAGAAGGATGTCAGTCCATGGCTGATGAATTGGGTTGCAGCTGTTCTGTATTCACGTCTGGTTGCTCTCCGACTGGGCTCATGGATCTCAGAACCATGCACTTTGGTTCCAGGACTGCCACAGGGATCCGCCATCTCGCCTGTGCTCTTTTATGTGTACACGAGCAAGATCGCAAGCCTAGAAGCACCAGCGGTTGGAAGGATACTGACTTACTTGCATATAGGCAGGGGGAGAAGAGGGAACAAACAGCTACAAGTGACTGAGAGGTGTACAGAAATTAGGGTTGTCCACTCGGAAAAAGCGTCTGTTCTGTGGTGTTCTCTAGACTACAGAATCGTCAGAGGTAATGTCACGATAGATGGTAGAAGCGTCAACAGAGAGAGCAAACTGAAGTATCTGGGATTTACATTTGACAGGAGCCTGTCCTTTAAGGACCATGTGGAAAGTTTTGTGACAAGATGCCAAAAAGGACTTGGTGCACTTTAGACTATGGCAGCAATTGACAAAGAGCAGAGAATGCGTTTCACACTATATCAGCACATGATCCTGTCAGTGGT